GTCCTTTTGGATTGGCTTCTTTTCAACATTGCTTTCTTGATGTACCATGCTGTAACTGTTCCCTGATATGCCGTGAACTCTGTTAGTGTGATAGGCTACTGTTACAGGCACAAAGACCAAATTTGGTATATACATTCTGAGCAGTGTTCTGATATGACCCAGCAGTTGAGCTTAATTTCTTTCTATTTGAATGGCAGATTAAGCAATACTGGCGGCTTGAAGATGGCACTGTAAATGTTGTTACCCGTGGCCAGCAGCGTTTTTGTCTTAGGCACCGTTGGACTGATGACGATGGAGCAGTGAGTAACTGTTAGATACCCGACCGATTTATAAATGCTGTTCTTGCAGGGTTGACTTTTGAATTTTGCTCATTACTTTATTGTCAATAGCTTGTTGGAGAAGTTCAAATCATCCAAGAAGATTTACCATTGAGAACACCACAGGAGGCAGTTGGTAAACTTGCTCCATTAAAGAACTTGCGAATTGGTGGTACCTTCAAAGTGCCACCTTTAACTGGTTCTCAGACTAACCCTAATAATTATGAGGATGGAAATGATTCTGATGCAATGTCAGAGGCAAATTTTGAGAGGCTTCTTACTGAAACAGAAAGAAGGTTGCACCAATCTGCTCTTTGTTCTTGTTATGGTTCTGATGCTATTGACGAGACAAGTAGTGACGAAGAGAAGTTTGGGCAAGATTTGGAATGCCAACCTGGAAGATCTCAGTTAGACAATGATATGAAGCTGATGCATACCGAACGTAGCAAAAGGAATGAGGATGCTAGTCCAGGTGTTGGGAAAACAGCCTTTCTGGAGGTACAACCTTGCAACAGAGTGGAACAGGAGAACTACCCTATAAACCACTTTCGTGACGTTCCTAGAGCCTTCTGGCCCGGCTGGGTGTACCGCATGTACGATTCATATTCTCTTGCTCAAAAGGCAGCAGGTGATGTGGCTTTTCTTTCTTCCATCCATACTTCGTTATCTTCTCTTGCTTATTCCATAAACGTCTGGACGACTGGAACCGTATTTTGTATGAACATGTAGATGCATTTTTGTTTTCAGTTTCTGGATATAAGCATCAATTATTGGCAAGACCATAAAAATAGCAGTTCTGCAAAATCTTTATATTTATTTTTTGGATTATTCTTGGTGTACATCACCAAGTACATAAGGGTGTCCATAATGGACGGGCGGCCTCCACTAGGGGGGCGCCGGGTGTCCATCTTATGTACCCCCTATGTACACCAAGAATAACCCTTATTTTTTACATTTCAAATTTCAATTAGTCACTAGAGATCTTGTGCTTACTTTTTGGAATTCAATGGAAAAGATGGGTTCTATATGAAATCATGAAAACTCTGAAATTGTGTACGAGTAATCTCCTTTATTATAATATTGCAGATAGATGGAAGAATGTTGTAAGTGCACCAAGTATGGACGGGTTCGTGATGAAACCAATTCTGCTTTCATTTCAGATTGCTGGTAAAATTCCTGTATCTGATTCAACAAGGCAAGAACTTTTGGAGATTGATTCAATTTCTTATAGATTGCGGAGGGAAATTGAGTTACTTGAGAGTCTTGATCGTATTCGTTGTAAAATATGTCAGGTAAAACCGTACTAAACCAGTCTTCACTGTGTCCATTGACAATGTATACACACTTCTTTTTTGCATGTGTTCGGTATTGAGTCTTCATTTAAAGTACTAATAACTTTTATTTCCTTCCCTCATAGGCTCTGTTTGCAAAGCGAAGTGATATCTTAGTGATCTCTACTGAGGGCCCACTTGGTGCTTATGTTAATGCATTTGGGTTTGTATATGAGATAATGACACTCCGCAAAGCGCAGGGAATTGCAATCGTAGGAGTTCCAGTAAGAGACTACAGCTGGTTTCCTGGGTAAGGTTCCTTTTTCTTCTGATCAACACGTCCTACAATGGTACTAGTCATATTAGTTTGAACAGAAAGTATTATTGATGCAGGTATGTATGGCAAGTTACTCAATGTATGTCATGTGGATACTCAACGGGCTGGTTCTTCACGGCCTTAAAGAAGGAAACACGACCCTTTACTTTTTGGGGTGTTACTACCTCACAAATTCTGGTCGAATCGCATTGAAACTCTTGGAGATACAACTGAATAATGTAATTCCCGGCGCTTTCAATATGTAGATGCTATTTGATAGCATATATATGTGATTGTGTGACAGCTCTGGTGGGCAAGAATAAAACGATATAACCTGGAAACATGTGGCAAACTTGTGGCCAAGACTGCATGATGCACTCTTTTCTTATTTCTATGTTGGTATATCAGTTGAAATTATTATAGGCAAATTCCTGTGGTGCTATGAGATGTTGAATTATAGTTTAGAAGAATAGATCTGGAGAACTTTTGATTGAATGCATCTTCTAGAAATTGCTAGGTCGAGCCCTTGCTAGGTAGGTCACCAAACTATAACAAGAATTTCCGGTATTCAAGGCTGTATATCGAATTAAGAAGCCAATTTATTACAAACAAACTAATCAACTGAAAACTTGAAAGATACTTAGAGACCTTGCCAAATAAGTGAAACAACAACGAAGAAAGAGCCATTTGAGTTTATTACTAAAGACAAATGATTTCAAGTTTGCTAGATTCGTGTATTTCAGCTACCATTAGTGGAATAACTAATGAAAAAATCAACTTGCTGAGAGCAT